ACTATATGCTACCAAATTCAATAACCTAGAAGAAATGGATGGATTCCTAGAAATGTATAACTTTCTAAGACTGAATCATGAAAAGGTAGAAAATCTCAATAGGACAATCAGCAGTAAGGAAACTAAAGCATCCATCAAAAACCTCCCAGAAAGTGAAAGTCCAGGGCCAGACAGTTTCGCCAGTGAATTCTATCAAATATTCAAAGAAGATTTGAAACCTACCCTTTTCAAATTCTTCCAAAAATCTGAAGAAGCAGCAATAGTTCCTAACACATTTTATGAGGCCAACATAACCCTGATACCCAAACCTGGCAAGGACAACACACAAAAAAAGAAAACTACAGATCAATATCTCTGATGAATACAGATGAAAAAATCTTAAACAAAAAAACTAGCAAATCAAATACAACAATACATTTTTAAAAGATTTTATTTCTTTATTCTTTAGAAGTGAGAGAAGGGAAGGAGAAAGAGAGGGAGAGAAACATCCATCAGCTTCGTCTCACACACACCAAATCTGGGACCTGGCCTGCAACCCAGATACGTGCTCTCACTGGGAATCGAACTGGTGACCTTCTGGGTCACAGGCCGTGCTCAGTGGACTGAGTGTGGGCCTGCAAACCAGAGGACCAAGGTTCGATTCCCAGTCAGGGCACATGCCTGTGTTGCAGGCCAGTTCCCTGTTCCCCGCAGGGGTCACACGAGAGGCAACCATACATTGATTGACATTTCTCTCCCTCTCTCATTCCCTTCACCTCTAAAGATAAATAAATAACATCTTAAAAAATACTGTATCATGATCAAGTGCAGTTCATTGCAGGGTCACAGAAATGGTTTAACATATACAAATCAATCAATGTAATATACTGCATTAACAAAAGAAAGGAGAAAAATCATATGATCTTATCGACAGATGTAGAAAAAACATTTCTTAAGATACAACATCCATTTATGACTAAACAATAAATAAAAACAGGAATACAAGGAAAGTACCTCAATATAATAAAGTCCACATATGACAAACCCTCAGCCAATGTCATACTCAATGACTAAAAACTGAAAGCTTTTCCTTTAAAATCAAGAACAAGACAAGGATTTGAAACCTACCCTTTTATTCTTTCCACTTATTCAACATAATTCTGGAAGGCCAAGCCAGAGCAATAAGGCAAGAGGAAAAAAAAGGTACATTGAAAAATGGGGACTTCCGCCAAGATGGAGGCATAGGTGGAAACACTTTGCCTCCTCGCACAACACATCTAAAAACAACAAAGTTTTAGCAACAATAAACGCAGCCAAGCCACAGAAAATCAAACAATATGGAGTCCGAAAACAACAAACTGCTCAGCTAAACTAGTGAGAGGGGCGGAGCCAGCAGCAGAGAGTCTGGCGAAAAAGATCCCCCGACCAAGGCAGCAATGCAGGCAGCCGGACGGATCCCAGGTGCAGGCTAGCTACGGGCAGAACCCAGGGAAGACACGGGGCGGCTGTCTGTCTGTGGTGGGTCGCACATTTGTGCGCAGATAAACAGGCAGGGGGCAAGCGGTGAGGACCACCATTGCTCCCTCTCTGGCCCCATCCCCACATACAGCATCACAAACTATCGACCTGGGTGGCCCCGCCCTGGTGAACATCTAAGGCACCTCTCCTCAAACATAACAGTCCGAACAGATCAAAACATGGCTCAAGAACAACTCAGAGCCCCAGAGCTGATAAATCTAAGCCATCAAGAAATAGCCAAACTTTCAGAGGCACAGTTCAAAACACTGGTGATCAGGATGCTCACAGAACTGGTTGATTTTAGTCACAAATTAGAGGAACATATGAAGGCTAAACTAATTGAAATGAAGGGAAATGCACAGGAAACCAATAGAGATAGAAAGGAAACTGGGAATCAAATCAAGGAAGCGGACCAGAAGGAAGGAAAAAATGACCAAACAGAAAAGAATGAAGAAACAAGAATTCAAAAAAATGAGAAGGGGCTTAGGAACCTTTAGGACATCTTTAAATGTTCCAACATCCAAATTATAGGGGTACCAGAAGGGGAAGAGGAACAGCCACGAGTGGAAAACTTATTTGAACAAATAATAAAGGAGAACTTCCCCAATCTGGCAAAGGAAATAGACTTCCGGGAAATCCAGGAAGCTCAGAGGGTCCCAAAGAAGTTGGACCCAAGAAGGAACACACCAAGGCATATCATCATTACATTAGCCAAAATTAAAATGAAGGAGAGAATTCTAGAAGCAGCAAGAGATAAGGGGACAGTCACCTACAAAGGAGTTCCCATCAGACTGTCAGCTGATTTCTCAAAAGAGCCCTTACAGGCAAGAAGGGGCTGGAAAGAAATATTCCAAGTCCTGAAATCCAAAGACCTACATCCAAGATTGCTCTATCCAGCAAAGCTTTCATTTAGAATGGAAGGGCAGATAAAGTGCTTCTCAGATAACATCAAATTCAAGGAGTTCATCATCACCAAGCCCTTATTATATGAAATGTTAAAGGGACTTACCTAAGAAAAAGAAGATAAAAAAGATGAACAGTGAAAGGACAGCAAACTCACAGTTATTAACAACCACATCTAAAACAAAAGCAAACTAAGAGGACAGCTAGATCAGGAGTGAACCATAGAAATGAAGATCATGAGGAGGGTTAGCAACAGGGGAGAAGGAGAAGGGGGGAGAAGGTACAGAAAATAAGTAGCATAGACAGTAGATAGAAAATAGATAGGGGGAGGGTAAGAATAGTAGGGGAAATATAGAATCTAAAGAACTCGAGACACATGGTCATGAACTAAAGGGGGGATGGTGGGGGAGGGGTGTGCAGGGTGGAGGGGAATGAAGGGGGGAATAGAACAAATGTAATGGCATAATCAATAAAATAAAAATATATATTTAAAAAAGAAAATAAGAAAAAAAAAGAAAAATGGGCAGAGGACCTGAACAGACACATCTCTCAAGAAGACACACAAATGGTGAACAGATATATGAAAAGTTCAATATCACTAGCTATTAGGGAGATAGATGCAAATGAAAACTTCAATGAAATGGCACCTTATACCTTTCAGAATGGCTATTATGAACAAGACAGGTAATAACAAGTGTGGGAGAGTTTGTGGAGAAAAGGCAACCCTCATTCACTGGTGGTGGGAATGTAGACTGGTACAGCCACTATAGAGAAAAGTACGGAAGTTCCTCAAAAAATTAAGAATAGAGTTACCACATGAGCCAGCAATCCATCTCCTGGGTATGTACCCGAAAAATGGAAAAACATGTATTTGCAAAGTTATATGCACCCCTACATTCACTGCAGCATTACTCATGGTGGTCTAGACACAGAGACAACCACAGTGTCCTTCAATAGAGGATTAGGTAAGGAAGATGTGGTTCATTATGTACAATGGAATACTGCTCAGCCATAAGAAAAGATGAAGTACTGGCATTTGCAACAACATGGATGGACCTTGAGAATATCACACTAAGCAAAATAAGTCACACAGAAAAAGCCAAGAACCACATGGTTTCACTAATGTAGGATATAAAACTGAAACTTGTGAAAACATACAGCAATGTGGGGGTTGCCAGAGGGAAGGGCGTGTGGGGTGGAAGTGAAGGGGGCCTCATACATGGTGACAGAAGCTGGTCTGACTTTAGGTGGTGGGCACACAGTGCAATATACAGATTTATTGTCATAGGAATGTATACTTTAAACCAATATGATCCTATTAACCAATGCTGCTCCAATACATTTTTCAAATTTTTTTACGAGTTTAAAAAAAAAGGAAAATGGAAATAATTTCAAAGCATACTCTGTAAATAATGGGTCTTGTTTATTTATTTTTTTTTAGTTTTCCTTATCCAACTTTGGAACATAAACCAGCCAGTTAAATAACTCAACTCTTCTCCAAACATTAGTGCTTCAAAGTTGCCAGGCTGAAGTCATCAGAAAAGGGCGATTTGCAAAAAAAACCAAAACAAACCAACAAAAAACAGAATAAACCACATAGGTGGTATTACAGTAACCAGAGGGGAACCTAAACTCAAATATTAAATTAATTTAGCCTGAATCCTCAGGGAAGAATTAGCCCTACATTCTGCAAGTTGTTTATACCCCCAAATTTCTGAAGCTAAATGGATTCTTATAAGCAGAGAAGTGGTCATGTTTCTTTAACAACCAAAGACATTTTCATTTTTATCAGCAATTGCTTTACCGAGAACTTTCCAAATGCCCCAGTGTTTTTCAGAGCCCCCAATTAGTTCTTTGAAATAGTACAACTGGAGTATCAGTTTGGAGTTCAGAAAGGATGATGCTGCACTCAGTTTTTCCTGTGCTTCAACAGCATTTCATACAGACTTTTATTCTAACAAACAACACACTGTGATCTCCAGGCATCTTCCTCCTCTTTGTATCCCTGCCTATTATCTGATACATAGCAGCCCTCAATAAATAGTGTTGAACAAAGTGATCCTTAATATTCTTCCTGAAAATTCTATAATGCTTTGATTCTATTTGAGTTTTTGTAAGTACTTATAATTTGTCTTGTGGCTTATGAAGTGTTTTGTGTGATATTTTAGGGAAAGAACTTTTGTTTTTCCCTCAAAGTTTATTTGGTTCAGCTAAAATATTGAGCACACTCTTATTTTGCATTTTTATGAGGCTTTCTTGATAGCATACTAACTGCAAATTAATAATCTAGTTACAAGGTTGAAGATGTATTTTGGGTGAGGCTCTGTGCTTCTTTTTTTTTTAAATATTTTATTTATTTATTTTTCGAGAGAGGGGAAGGGAAGGAGAAAGAGTAGGAGAGAAATATCAATGTATGGTTGCCTCTCATGTGTCCCCCGCTGGGAACTGGCCTGCAACCCAGGCATGCGCCCCGACCGGGAATCGAACCGCGATACTCTGGTTCACAGGCCCGCGCCCAATCCACTGAGCCACGCCAGCCAGGGCGGCTCTGTGCTTCTAAATGCCCATAACAAGACATTAGCCAGAACAAGTGTACTTACACTTCGTGATGCCCAAGGTCTTCTATTTGATGCCATTATTCTATTTCTCCAGTTTGAACTGAAAAATAAAACCCCCCAGCATAATTAGAAAATATAATTAACCAGAATATTTCTATCTGAGATGTACCTTAAAATTACAAGTGATATACTTAGAATTTCATTTGGCCCATCTGAAATGTGATGCCAGACACTTGGAAGAAAATTTTCTTTTTAACTTGTCAATATACTTTCCCAACTATGACGCCACTCAGTCTTTCTTTCCCAAGCAATGCAAGTATCTAATGGGACAAGAATGATGGTGGCACTGTAGCTGAACACAGTAGTTACACCTGCCTTCAGCATCTATTGAACAAATGAGCCACTGCTGGTGGCTGCAGCAAGCAGCATTATACTTGTTATTAATGAGAATGCCAAGAGCCACATTAGCAAAGGGCTGGAGCCTAAGCCTCACCTCCTCCCTCGGAGCACAGTTAATTTGAAAAAAAAAAAAAAGAAAACATTTAAAAGGGCAGTTATTCCAATCTGTGTCTTAATCTTTCAGGGTCCTAACACATAAGCCAAGTGTCCACTTTACAGGACAAATTGTATTCTCTATTGTTTGCAACATATTCAGAGCAAAGCCAAGTGCCATTTAAAACGGGGCCCTGTGAACAATTCTTTGTTATCAGTGTGAAATGATTCCTTCTAGAACAGATGGAGTTCCCTTAATTCTGAAGGCTGAGTACTTTATTAGCATGGAAGTCACATTCCTGCTACAAAGCTGTATCTGTGCATGCTTAGTTTGGGGGTTTTCTCTGTAAATGGTTAAATGAAACTCCTGCCATCCACGGCTTCTAGTAGAGAGAAAGTGGCTTGGGTCAGGGCTCTGCCCAACCCCCACCGCAGGTGACACTGTGCTCATCCTCAGTCCATACGGTTTCGCTGGCAGGCGGCGTGGGTGGGAGGGGCAGCCGGCGGGGCCCGACCCCACTCCTCCTTTCTTTCCCCGACTCCCATTCCCTGTTCCCTTCCCTTCCAGGCTCTCCCCACCTCCTGGGCTAAAGAGAGAGGAAACCCGCGGTGTGGCAGAGGTGGCGGACGTCCCAAACAGCGAGGCGAGCTCGGGGAAAAAGAGGGACGGACCGCGACAAGCCTGGTTTTCCCGCGCGCAGTTGTACCTCTCGATGTAGGTGGGGTCGGTATCCGTTATCCTCTTCCCCGAAGCTGGCCACCACCGGCTGGAGGAAGCCCTTATATCGGGAACTGGCCAGGTGGAGCTGGCCACCGCGCCCAGGCCAGACCGGCGCCTAGCGAAGCCTCTGCAGTGCGCCAGCGCGGCTCTCTCTGTTGCCTAGCAACCGACCGGCCTGATTTAAAAGGACCCGGGTGCTGCTGAATGGCGGTCACAGCCCAGCTAAGCTCTGCGCATGCTTGGTGAGGCGGTTCTTCCAGTGGTTTCTGGCTTCAGAAAAGGAGAGCTCAAATCGGGAGAGCCAGTCTGGATGGGAAGGGGCAAGAAACTGCGAGGCAGCCCCGTCCACGGTGGATTTATTAGGGAGGGTCCGGGTGACTCATAAAGCCCCCTGGACATAGTGGTTGTCAGGGGAAAAAGGGAGTGGCACAGACTTAATCCCTAGGCCTGAAGAATGTCAGTAACCTGACTGTTGAGGAGGGTTATCTCTGAAAGATCGCTTGGATTTGGTTCAGGGTCCCTAAGAATGTACAGTTGCATCTCACTACCCATCCACACATACACCTCTGCCCCTCAGCATTGTGGTCAGGCCAGAATTTCTGCCTCTGGCCAAGGCTCCAAGGACTTGTGTCAGGAGAACATTATCCCCTGGTTGTGCCTCTGTGGAAGACTGACTTTGTAACTCAGCTAGCCCATGGGTTCCTCGTTTATGAGTCCGGAATTTCTCTAAACCTCTCTTGTACCTATTTGAATTTAAAACCTGTTGGGAGCAACTAGTTTACACTACTAGCACTATAAAATAATTTCCTTCTGTCAGCTGCAAAACTACTCTCTTAGAGCTTCATGAGTTGTTCATAACTTCCAGGATTTGATTGGGGAACAAGCCCATATTCTTCACTATAACATTTCAGTCGTGGTATTTTGTTACATAATTAATGATCTTCTAGACTTTTCATCTTGGCCTGGTTGCTCAGTGCTGATTCCTCCATTGGCTTTAAGAACTAGGGACTTTAAGGGGAAAAAATGGGAGGGATTTAGAGGAATAAGTATAAAGGACACAGGGACAATAACTAAGGGGAGTGGAAATGGGAGGGAGGTGGGATGCATGGGGGAGGGGTGGGCTGGGATGGGAGAAATAAACAGAAAACTGTACTTGAAAAATAACTAAATACAAATTTAAAAAAAAAGAACTAGATCAACAACTCGATCACCTACACTGTTTATAGTCTGATTCTGACCCATCCAAAGCCAGACTGAAAGATGGAGCTGGCAAAGTTTGTGGGGCCTGAAACAGAGTGGAACTGGGGTGTCTAAAATAGTAATAATAGTGACTTTTAGGAAACCTAGTATTTTCTAAGAAGCATGAAGTTGAAAGGAAACATTAGCTTCAGGATCTCAAGTGAAAACAGATTGAAACACATTTAAAAGTGAACGTTTAGCCCTGCATGGGTTACTCAGTTGGTTGGAGTATCATCCCAAATACCAAAAGATTGCTGGTTTGATCCCCAATCAGGGCACATACCTAGGTTTGATCCTAGTTGGGGCGCCTAAGAGAGGCAATGATCTCTCTCTCTCAAATCAATAAAACATATCCTTGTGTAAGCATTTTAATAGATCAAAACAAAAAAAGTGACAGTCTACTTTATCAAGACCAAGCAAGGGAGTGACTTAGAAACAATCCCATAATACATTTCAAAACTTCAAAACTTCTTGGTAATGGAATCTAACATGGGTTTGGGAGCTGGCAAGGTTGCATTTTAGGGGCCTGAAGCCCACTTCTTAGTTTCCTTTACCCTCTTTAGAGAACCAATGTCAACAAGGATTGGAGACAGGGATAGGCAATATATATATATATATAAAATGGGCCCCATCAGAATTAGTTTGTGGGATCCTGACGAAACTTTTTTCCTGATAATATGTCTGCACATTGCCTTGTATTTACCATTTCTGTTTTAAATATATTTTTTGCTTTCTAATACCCACTTTTAAAAAATTTATTTTTAATTTTTAAGTAAAAATTAAAATAAATAAATTTGTTGTTCAAGTACAGTTTTGTGTCTTTTACTCCCATCCCAGCTCACCCCCCATGTCTTAATTATTTTTAAAAGGTCCCACTTTTCTGCTTGACATAAGGTTCCTTATTAGTGTAATAAAATAAACTTTATTAATTGCTCTATGCCTCAGTTTTCTCATTTGTGCAATAGGGATAGTCATTGTACCTACCTCATAGGAGTATTGTAAGGAGTGAGCAAATAAATATTTTTAAAACCCTGAGAGCAATACCGTACATATAGCAAATCCTATATAAATGTTTGCTATTGTTATTGTTACCTCATCTTATAAATTCATCACTCTCCTAAAATATAAATATAAACACGCTGATGGTGATAACTCAGGCTGTGCTCTGGGAAGTGGAATCTGAAGTCTTGAGACCCAGAATTCCAAATGTTCACTTCAGGCTCCCATTAGGCAAACCCATCTCATTCCCATATCCCTGAAAAAAATGCACAAAGTGTTACTTTGGTCTTGCTGTAATTCTATTTTTAAGTATGGCGGATGCCCCTTTCAATGCACCCAAAGTATCAAATGGCGGAGAATCAACAACGAGGACAGAGTTTTCTTAATCAAAGTCACTGTAGACTTGGAGAAAGGTTTTCTAATGTGAAAGTCAGAAAACAGTTTACTATCATCTAAAAGGCACTTGCTAATAATAGAATCATACAGCCATACAATGGAGCCCAAGAAGGATACTGAGACCCAATGAAGTAATGTGATTTACCCTTTGATCACACAGCAAAATAAGGTTCTTTTGATTTCCCTGGCAAATTATCCTTGTTTGATTAGCCTCAAACCTAGGGCATCGGGGGCAATGAAAATACACATTCATAGGTATATGTTACATATAGGTAAACATTTAAATTATTCACGGAGATAATATATCTAACATTTGCCACACCTCATATCCTATACATCAGCAGATTCCGTTGGCTCTGCCTTCATAATGTATCTAGAATCTGATGGCTTCTCACCATCTCCACTTTACATTTACAGGATTGACAACCTGATCCTGACCCCCATCATCCCTTGACTGGACTAGACTATTGCAATAACCTTCTGACTGCTTCTACCTTTGCCCACTGTGTTAGGTTCCTTGGGCTGCCACATCAAAGTATCATAAACGGGTGGCTTTAAACAACAGACACATTTTATCACAGTTCTAGTGGCCAAAAGTCTCAAATCAAAAATTCAGCAGGGTTGATTCTTTCTGAGGACTCTGAAAGACAGTTTGTCTCTCCTAACCTCTGTTGGTTGCCAGTAATCTATGGCCTTCCTTGGCTTATAGATACATCATGACAGTTTCTGTCTGTATTCACAAGGTGTTCTCCTTATGCGCACACGTGTGTGTGTGTGTGTGTGTGTGTGTGTGTGTCTTCACATATCTGTCTTCCCTCTGTGTGTGTCTGTGTGCCCAAATTCCATTCCTCTAATAAGAACATCAATTAGTAAATTGGGGCCCACTTTAATTGAATATGACCTCCTCATCTTGGTTTTTTTTTTTAATCCTCACCTGAGGACATTTTTCATTGCCTTTTTTAAAAGAAAAACATTGATGTGAGAGAGAAACATCAATTATTTGCCTCCAGTATATGCCCGGACTGGGGATCGTACGTACCTAGACCTGGGATCAAACCCACAGCTTAGGTGTGTGCCCTGACCAAGAACCAAACCCTTGACCCTGTGGTTACCAACAATGCTCCAACCAACTGAGCCACACTGGCCAGGGCCCATTTGGCCTCATCTTTTTTTTTTAAGGTTTTATTTATTTGTCTTTAGAGGGGAAGGGAAGGACAGAGGGAGAGAAATATCAATGTATGATTGCCTCTCCTGAGTCCCCTGCTGAGAACTGGCCTGCAACCCAGTCATGTGCCCTGACTGGGAATCAAACTGTGGTTGTTTGGTTTGCAGGCCCATGGTCTCAATCCACTGAGCTATACCAGCCAGGGCTGGCCTCATCTTAACTTGAGTACATCTGCTAAGACCCTGTTTCCAATAAGGGCATATTCATAGATTTAGGGGTAAGGAATTGAACGTATCTTTTGTAGGGACACAATTCAATCCACAATACCCACCCATGATCTATTCTCAGCACAGATCCAGAAAGATCATTATAAAATATGAAATCTGATCATGTTATAATTATGCTCAAAAGCCCACAACATCTCTCAGTTTGACTTTCACTAAAAACCAAAATCCTAATAATAACCTACAAGACCATTCCCCTCCCCCAAACACCTACATTACCTCTCTGACCTCCTCTCCTGCCACTTTGTGCCTTGGTGGTCCTAGTACAGCAGTACTAGCTGCCTTGTTCCTAGAACACCCAAGCACGCTCCCACCATTAGGGGCTTTGTTCAACTTGATCCCTCTGCTTTGAATGCTCTTCAAAAGGTACACGATATCCACATATCTTGCTTAGTTCCTTATCTTCTTCCAGTCTTTGTTTAAATCTTAGCTTCTCTGTGAGGTTTTCCCTGCCCCTTCTATTTAATACTGTCAGCTTTCAACCTCTGCAACATTTCTACTACTCCTGACTCTACTTTTAAAGAATATAGTATTTATTTTCTAACACACTATATTAAAACTTTTACTCTGTTCTCTCCATCCTCACCCCTTCTGGGCTGTTCCAAGAGGGCAGGGACCATGAATTTTTTTTTTCCACTCATGCATCCTGAGCACCAAGAGCAGGGCCTGGCACGTGGTAGGCACTGAAAAAAAATATTTGTTGAGTGGATAGATGGATGAATGAAGCTCATATCACATTCTGGGAGTGTTTCCTTTAACCTTCACAACAATCTTAGCACGTAGGTACTATTATTACCTATGTTTCACAGATGAGAAAACTGAGGCACAACAAGGGTTAAGTAAGTTCCTAAGGTCACATGTTTAATACACGGTGGAGCTTGCTTTTGAATTCAGGCAGGTTTATCTTCAACAACTATGTAGCCCTGGAATATAAAGGGCACCTCACCCTATTGCCTGGAAACCCTATATCAAGCTACCCTTGTTTTGACATTCACATTTTTCCAAAGGCAGGCAATGA